AGACTCTGGAAGCAAAGTCCCCAGAGAAAGGGAGTACAAATATGGAAAGCAAGGCTGGCCTGGATTTGAAGGTATTGGTGTGGACTTCTATTTATGTTAAAACCCCTGGGACTTCCCTGGTGGTGCAGTGGTTAAGAATCCGCCTGCCAATGCAAGGGACACAGGCTCAAGCCCTGATCCAGGAAGATCCCACATGCCACAGAGCAACTAAGCCCGTGTGCCACAACTACTGAGCCTGTGCTCTAGAGCCCATGAGCCACAACCACTGAGCCTGTGCTCTAGAGCCCACGAGCCACAACTACTGAGCCCACATGCCACAATTACTGAATCCCGCGCACATAGAGCCCGTGCTCCGCAACAAGAGAAGCCACCGCACTGAGAAGCCCGCGCACCGCAACAAAGAGTAGCCCCCGCTCGCCACAACTAGAGAAAGCCTGCACGCAGCAACGAAGACCCAATGCAGCCAAAAATTAATTAATAAATTAATTTTTTAAAAAAAACCTAAGTATACATGTGCGTATGGGACTGTGTGTGTATACACAATCATTTCCTAGCTCTGTCCCCCTTAAAGGACCTGGGGCCAGCAACACTCCTGAGCAACCACTCAGTGCCCAGAAATTGGTTTTTAAGTGCCACTCTCCACTAAAAGAACCAGACCTCATTAGAGAAATGGCTGATTCTGGGCTTGGGCAGAGAAACACAAAATGAGTCTGGAACGTGTTGTGGTGAAAAGTGATGAGAATGTGTCAAGAGGACACAGAGGTGAGTTTAAAGAAGCACTCATGGACCTCATCTGGGACAATCTAAACACCAAAATGAATGACCATCACGTATTTTAACCCACTGAACAAAATACATGCTCACAAGCCCATACAGGTAAGTGAATACATGGATATGTATGGGGAGAAGAGAAAGCGCTTCCTTACAACAGAAGCCAACAAATAAACGGAGAAGGAATGAGGGTAATAACAAGTCATCATGTGGCAACCACAATATTAAAAATAAACTTAAGAGACATTGAGGGCTTCCCTGATGGCGCGGTGGTTGAGAGTCCGCCTGCCGATGCAGGGGACCAAAATGGGAAGGAAATCCAAAACAGAGGGGATATATGTATACATATAGCTGATTCACTTTTCTGCACAGCAGAAACCAACACAACATTGTAAAGCGGAGGCCGGGGAACCAAAAAAAAAAAAAAAAAAAAAAAAGACATTGAGATGATAAGATTAGTAGATGAAAATGAGGTGAGAAAAAGAAATTTGTATCATCTCAAAGTATTTCCCACAAAATATTTATTACAAAAGGAAGAAAAAAGGAACTTCACGGAGGAGAAACCCAACCGACATGCTCTTCAAGAAGTGATCAAAGTTACCACCACCAGGAACAGGACAAATCAGACAAAATGTGCCACCCAAGAGGCTGCAGTGGTCATCACAGTATCTGGCCCAAAATACCTACCCCAAATGGAGGGCCTTTCTAACAGTGACATGAAGCCAAGGCAAGACTGAGCAAACATTCTAGACTGAAGGAAACCACTGACAGAGTGATAAGCAGCAGGTATAACATGTAATCCTGGATTGAACCCTTTACTTTACTATAGAAGACATTACTGGGTCACCTGGTGAAACTTGAAACCCAAGGCATACAGGAATTCCTTGGATTATTCTCGTAACTTTTCTGTAAGTTAGAAATGGTTTCAAAATGAAGTTTTATATATATATCAATATTATATATATATATATATATATATAATTTTTTTTTTAAACAGTTAAAGGCAGCTTTTGCTTTTCACCCTTCCACCTTCTTTCTGCCTGGAATGCACGCATGCTGACATGAGGGTGAAGTCTCAAGATAAGTAAGGAGAGCAGAACAGTAAAACAGGCAGAACTGCCACATCAGCCCTGGGCTACCCACCTCAACACTTCTTGTTATACATGGTGGAAAATAAACCCCATGATGGTTCAAGTCACGATAGCAGGGTTTTCTGTCACTCACAACCAAAGCAATCATAACTAACATATTGAATAGGCAGAGGACTACTACTCCATTCCTATTTTCCCACTATCACTAATTGAAAAACCTACCAAAAAATAACAGAAAAGTAGTGATTTGCTCCAGGGACAAGGCAGCAGAGAAGCTGTGTGTTTTGGGCAGCCACGGGCACTAAGGAAAGCCTGGCCAGAATCAACAGCAGGTCCATCTCCACCTAAAGTCCCGTGAGTTTCCATCGACAAAGGAATGGATAAAGAAGATGTGGTACATATATAATGGAATATTACTCAGCCATTAAAAAGAATGAAATAATGCCATCTGCAGCAACATGGATGGACCTAGAGATTACCATACTAAGTGAAGTCAGTCAGACAGAGAAAGAGAAATATGGTATGATATGGCTTATATGCAGAATCTTAAAAAAAAATGATACAAATGAACGTATTTACAAAACAGAAGCAGACTCACAGACTTGGAGAATGAACTTATGGTTACCAGGGGGAAGGATGGGGGGTGAGGGATAGTTAGGGAATTTGGGATTGACATGTACACACTACTATATTTAAGATAAAAAACTAACAAGGATCTACTACTGTATAGCAGAGGGAACTCTGCTCAATATTATGTAACAACCTAAGTGGGGAAAGAACTTGAAAAAGCAGAGATACACGTATAACTGAATCACTTTCCTGTATGCTTGAAACTAACACAACGTTACTAATCAACTATACTACAATATAAAATAAAAAGTTTAAAAAAAAATTTTTAAATAAAGTCCAGTGAGTTCCCACGCTCAGCGCGAGGAAGAGTGAGGTCAGAGGCAGGACTCTGACGGACAGGCAATGAAAGAGAGACAGGAGACGTCTTCAAAGGCATTTTCTCAGAGAAACAGCTCTGTGCACAATCTGTGTACTACAGCAGCACCTGCTTTGGATACAGGATGAGTTAAATAGGCTTTCAGTGCTTGCTTTTCAACCAGATCGCCACTTAGAACACTGTCTCTGTGAGAAAGATCCTAAATGCTGAATGATACGGGCTGAATATTTACATCCCCTCCAAATTCATATGTTGAAATCCTAACCCTCCCAAGTGATGGTACAAGGAAGTAGGGCCTTTGGGAGGTAATTAAGTTATGAGGATGGAGCCTTATGAATGAGATTAGTACCTTAGAAGAGACACCTCAGAGAGTTTTCTCACCTTCTTTCTGCCATGTGAGGATAAAAGGAGAAGACAGCCATCTGCAACCTGGAAAAGGGGCCCTCAACAGAACCTGAGCATGCTGGTACCCCGATCTTGGACTTCTAGCCTCCAGGACTGAAAGAAATAAGTTTCTGTTGTTTATAAGCCACCCTGACTATGGTACTCTGTCATAGCAGCCTGAACAGACTGACACTGTACTTAAAGTAACTTTCAGAATCTAACCTGGCAATAAACTGGGGACGTCTGTAAACACCTATTTCATTTATAATTCAACTTTATTTCCTAGCCATCAATTTGTATTACATTTTTCTAATCACAACTCACTTTTCTCATCATAATGCCTCCTATTGGTCTAGTACTCCTTCCTTACTCTTTAAGGTTCCCTTCATACCACGATTTTAATTTCATTCTTGCTCTCAACAGTGGTGTGAGGAAAACCCAATTGCCTCCATTTAACACGTAAGAAGACAAAGTTGAGGGAGATGAAGCCACTGGCCCAAGTCCTCACAGCAAGGAAATGGCATAAATGTAACAAGAATTCTGAGCCCTGACTGCCAATCCAGTGTTCCTTCACCTAAACCACACAGTGTGTCATTAACAGCACTGTCAGTTTTTAATATTTCCTGTCTTGCTTTAAGATTATACTACAAAAGGCTTGAGCGGGAGGGAGGCGCAAGAGGGAGGGGATATGGGGATATGTGTATATGTATAACTGATTCACTTTGTTATGCAGCAGAAACTAACACTGTAAAGCAATTATACACCAATAAAGATGTTTGAAAAAAAGGTTATATTATTAAAGGCTAGAACACGAGGTCAGAAAAGAGTAAGCAGGAAGAAACGCATACATTTTACCTAATGGAAGGGTGTGCAGGAAATTCAGCACTCCTCCATCATCCTCTTCTTACTCCTGTTTCAGAAGTGAAGAGGTACAAAAATACTGCCCCCCTAGTAGACCGCACCTGCCTCCCTGAGACTCTCCTGGCAGCCAGTCCCCCGCTCAGTTAGAATGTTCCAGGCCCTTCAAAACTCTACAGAAATACCAGAATCTCCAATGCTTGGCTGCTCGTCTCCATGCAGCCCTGCTCTTCAAATCAGCAAGTACCAAGTGCCTGTTATGTATAACACAGTGTCAGGCCCTCGGCGTGGTCTCTGTCCTCCTGGATAAGTTAAGGAGATAAGGCAAATACGTAAAAAGTTAAGCAGCCACCCAAGAAACAAACAACAGTGCAGACCAATGACAGGAGCAGAGGCATAAGAGGAAGATATGAGCAAGTGCCAAGACCAAGTAACGGATGGACAGCACTTACGGATGGACAGCACTTACGGATGGAGAGCGCTTACAGTAACTGCTTCAGATTACAGAGAATAGACGTTCTTTAGGCTGAAGTAGGCAGGGTTTATGGAAAAAGCTAAAGTTTGAACTTGATCTTGGAAGAATGAACTTAGAGAGGGAAAGCATATTCCAGGTAGATACAGCACGGACGCAGAAAAGCTCAAGGTACGTTCAGAAGGTGCTGAGTGGATTGATCCTGCCAGTGGGAAAGAGTGGACCATACGAGGCAATGATCAACTGATAGTATATCAGTCATGATGCTCTGGCTACGAGAGGCTTCAAACGGGCTTAAACAGAAAGACGCTTCTATCTCTCATGACAAGAAGTCTAGAATTCTCGTGGTTTCTTGTGTTTTTTCAGCCCAAGGCACATGGCTGCGTGGAGGAGGGGTTGTGTTAAGACCAAACTTCTGTCAATAAGTCACAATAGGGGTGTGGATGATCCTACATGGGTAACCAGCTGTCACAAACGGTTACCGTTCAGCGAGTGCCGAGCGCGGACCCACGCATTTCACCTTCGAAGCAAACCTGAGAGAGATTACAGGGGAAGAACCAGAAGAGGCTCCCCATCTAACAACCAAATCCAAAACTAGATTTAGAAACGCAACAATAGATCCTCCTCCTTGTGCCTATTTACCAAAAAATACACGTGGGTTCTAAAGGGGATCTAACCAGGATGGCTGCTCAAATCTGTTCAGTTAGCAAAGACCTTCATTGTAACGACCACTGGGGGCCTGTGTTTATTAAAGCAAAACTGCACTAGGACATTCCAACATGTTAGTGTGAGGAAATGAATGAATGAAGGCAAAGAGATTGGCCCAGAAGAGAAAGCACACTGATATCCAGGCCTAGGGAACTGGACTTCCCAATATATTCCTATACGGGGGGGTCCTAGCACAGTGAGCTTTGGCCAGGCTCAGTACCCAAGCAGGACTCTCCTACTCAGTCATAGGGTCCATCTCCCTCATTCTAATCCTGAAAAATCTGTAACACAGGTTAGGGGAGTTGGCCAATTGCAGCATTACTTTATAAAGTCCATCTTTAATGTAATGTCATTTTATTTGTTTAAAAAATGTTTCTCAAGCACATTCTGCATGCTACACATGTTCTAGGCCCTGGTGATTCAGCAATGAGCAAGCAACTGCTGCTCTCATGGACCAGAATCTAGGTAAGGAAGACAAGCCAACAAAAGAGCCAGGTATTGAGAAGCACAAAGAGAAAAATAAAACCGGGTAATGGATTGAGTGGGTGACAGAGAAGGAGTCTGAGGACCTGACGCAGCAGAGGCTTTTGCATGATGAGAAGCCACCAGCGCAAAAACCTGGGAGAGAACATCAATGGAGAAGGGCGAGGGCAAAGGCACTGAGGTGGCGAGAAGCCTGCAGTGTTCAATGAACAAACAAGGAGGAGGCCAGCAGGGATGGAACCAGCCAGTGAGGAAGATGGAACACTAATGCATCAGGACAAGCAGGAACCAGATTATGTATAGTGCCCTGTAGGCAGGCCTAGCAGGGGGTTGGATTTTCTTCCAAATGCAAAGAGAAACAGCTGGATGGTTTCGAGCAAAGAAGTGACAGAATCCAAGTGACATTTTACAAAAATGACCTGACTACTGTGTGGAGAACAGACTGGAAGGAGAGAGAGGAAAAAGCAGGGGAGCCGGTTAGGAGACTGTTGCCACTACCCAGGCCAGAGACCTGGGGGTTGCACAGGTCGGTAGTGAGGGGGTGAAAAGTGAGGCTCCAGGCTCTGTTTGGAAGTTGAGCCAACAGGACCTGCAGACAGACTGGGTATTGAGGGGAAGATGCCTGGATCTGGGGCCTAAGGATTAAACCCTGGAGGATTAATTGGATCATGCCACCTACTGGAACACGGGAGAGCATGGGGAGAAAAAGGAATAGCAACAAACAACTTTGCTCCTAAGGGTCTTTCATTCTGAGATAGTCACTTTTGGAAATTCATACTTCCAGGTTGAACAATTTCACTCTCTGAGTGGGTCAGGAAAGAAATCTGGAAGAGGAAGCATTGTTATTTTTTAAACATACAGATTGGGACTCAGAGATCGACACTTTCACAGAATCTCAGAGAGGGAAGAAATGCAAGAGATCTGGTCCTACTCCCTTCATGCAGCAAGTGAAGAAACTGAGGTCCAGAGAGATACATGACACTGTCTCACTTGGGCAGGTCATCGTAAGTGCCACTATTTAGTGGCAGTTAGTGTCACATAAGACATTACTCCAAGCAGAGAGTCCCGTGCTCTCTCCATCACACCACGCTGGTCTCTGTGCCTCTCACCATAGATATTTCTCTTTCAGTTGCTTACACAAATCCTCACACAGGGTGCTGGTGATTTGCCTGATGCAGACATGCTGCGACACCAGAAGACATCTGACCTCAGACAGCAGGCCCTTTTCCTAGAAGAACACGCCCCATGCCAGGGCTCCTGTCAAGTGACAAGCAGAGTGACGGCCAGAGGAGTCAGAAGGCAGCCAGCCATGCCAGACACGCCACATCAGCACGTCTTGGATCTGTCACTAGTAGGAGCTAAATCAGCAGCTTCCAGAGCATTATAAGAAACTGACATCTGAAAAAGGCAAATCAGGTCCCAGCCAGCCTCTCAGGGGACTTGACCCCGCTTTGCTGCAAGCTGCCTTTCTTCTAGGACTGACCAGAGCAATATTCTCTGCAAAGGGGTCCACAGAGCACCAGCCCAGCCCATGGCAGAGCCCACGCTGTGCCCACCTACCTCGACTTTCACACTCCCCCTCCACCTTGATCGCCCTTCGTCTGATCTCCTTCATTCATTCTCACCGCCTTCCTGTATGCATCCAAACCTGCAACCTACACACAGCTTCTTCCTGAAAGAAAGGTAGCAGGTGGTCCTCTTACACTGTGTTTCTACCTCCCACCAGTGAATCACCACCACCAAAACATGGAACTAAAGCACATTTTAAACTATTTTGTACTGAATCAATTAAAGCTTTGTAATTCTCATTCTTAGAGTAAATTCAAGTGAGTTGGAAACTTACTTCTCCAAGAGAAACAAAAATCAGAAAACAAATTTCCTCAGGTTTCCTTTTATAGATGAGTAGAATCACAAGTGGTTTACTCCTTCCTTCCTTTTACTGTTTATTTGTAATTATTCCTTCTCACCTTAGTTTTATATTTTTCCTTCCCAAGAAGCAGCCATTGCTAGCCACCTTTCAAGGTGGGCAAGAAGTTAAGGGCGTATGGGTCAAATTCCCATTCTAAGGCACCCCCCATGGCATCCTTTGCTGGATGGTGCCCAGCCTGCTAAGATACCTGCAGAGATGAAGCCCGCACTTCCACACAAGGCAGCCCATTCCACTACTGGGGGCCATGTGCTTCTGGACCCCGAGCTCAACTCACCTCCCTGCACATACCCATTGATGATCACTATGAGCCTCAGATGAACTCAGAGAGGAAACACGAATCCCACATGACAGCCCTATACATTTCAGGATTATATCTCCTTTTTCCTGGCCTCTATGCCTGGGGACCCCCAGCCGCTCTTCATGTGCCATAGTTTCCAGGCACTTTTCTCTTCTAGACAGCTACCTCTAGCTCTATTTTTAGAGATCCCTTAAAAATATGTCATCAACATCAGAACAAAGGGGAGTCACATCTTGGGGGGGTGAGGAAGCTTGCTTCTAAAGTCAATAATAAAGCAAAAATCATGCAGTAGCAAAATCGCCTTTGAAAATCTCTCACACTGTCCGTCACAGTGAGATGGTTCAAGAGGCTCACTCACTTCAGAGCCTGTCACTTCGAGAGGCTCCGAGCTGCCTCAGGAAACAGATTCCCTCCTTCCATCTCATCCTCGCCCCAATGCACATCCTCACTAAGCAGGGTGATGACTCACACAACTGATTTTTTTTTTGTTTTCCAGTTGGTTGGTTTCTTGGCAATTGTTTGCCTTTGCCCACACACATGCTGAATACCTGATATTTCGGTGTATCCATGAGCCAGATTTACCCAAGCTCTAGGATTGCGCCACCATTACTCGGTCCTCTTCAAAGGACATCTGTTTTCTCACATCTTCAAATTCATCCTCCCCTCCACACCTCGTCTTCAATCCGGGCTGATACTTCATGATGGCCAACCAAGAGCCACCACTGGCACAGTTCACACAAAGTTCACACAGAACTCTGCAAAACTTCCATTTTGAACACTCACTATTGTAAATTATCATCTTGATGAGAAAGAGGCTGTAAAGAGGTTAATGTGATAGCAATCTCACTACAGTACATAAAATCCACAGTCTTTTCTAAAGCCTGCAACAATTTAAGAAACTACAATTTTTTGCCTAGAAGACAATTGTGCACTCTTATGATCATCGTTTATCATCCCAGGTGAAAAAGTTATTGGCACAGGTTTCTTGCCTGTATTTCTGGTTATGTTTGAATCACCTTAAGTCAAGTTAGTGCACCAGCACCAGACAAACCATAGTTAACACTTATTTGTTAAGATTAAAAGTACTATTTTATAAGGGAGATGATGAACACGAAGCTTTGAGAAAACTTCATATGATACCCACTTAAAACAATGGGAAAGGAGTAAAACTAAAACAGTTACATAAATCAAGATAATCCAAGTTTTATGGATACAAGCTGATGCTAAATTAACTTTGTTCTCAGGAATAAGCTGCAATGGTTCAGCTCAGTGTTAGAAGCAGCTCTGAAAAGATTCATGCAAATACTCTTCCATACTTTGGGTAACACTGTATCTTTATGCTCTAAAAAGAAGAGTACAATAAACATACCCTTATAAAAGCTTATAAACATTTTGTTTGTTTGGATTTTATATACTCTCATCTTCACCTTCCTCCTCAAATGGCATGGTAATTTATGGGAAGCATTCTTTGACATCACTATTTGATGTTTTCTCCATCTTAAAAGGCTACACAAACCAAACTTCAGCCCTATCCTCTCCCATCCAGTCAGCTGGTTGGATGTCCCCTACCTCCAACCAGCTGTTCTACCTGCAGACTTGAGCCCCTGAGGCTGGAGGGAGGAAAAGCAGTCTTCCAAGTGGACAAATGGGGCCCCCATTCTGTGAGCTCTAAGAAGACAGAGCTCAGAGAAGGAACAGCTCTGGAGGCTGGAAGCCCCCGGGTGATGCGATTCTGAGCTTCATCACTACCCAATGAAGTGTGGTTCTGGGGCAGGGGACGGATATGCCCTTCCCCACGCTAAGAGGCAGGAGACAGAAGGGCCCGTTGAGGGACTGACAGGAGCGAAGAGGTGAGACTTCCTCCCAAACCGCTTAAGAGCTGCCATGACAGCCCAGGAACCTCAACAACTTCCTACTACACGGGGGTCATGTCCTACCACTCTTGTCCTCTCGGTAAGACACTTCCTTCATTCACTACTCCTGGATGGCACTTATTACATGGAATATAATTGTAAGTTAATGAGGACCATGCGCCTCTTACATCCAGCGCTGTGCCTGACATCAAGGAGAGTCTCAAATACTTGTATCGGTTACATAACACTGCCCAACCAATTGAGACCAAGAATGGAAGACATTTCAGCTGTGGGTGAGGGCAATTCTGGCCATCAGGATGAGCTGAAAATGGACATCTCCGCAAAATAAAGCTTCAGGCTCAGAGTTCACAGCCCAGACTGGCACAGAGTAGCATCAGTGCTACCTCCCATTTGTGTAACGCTGTTAAGCCAGAAAGTGTATGACTGAAAACGATCAAACTTCCCATCTCAGTGCTATGAACTCAAATTCTAACCATTGTTTACCACAGCGAATAACTGAAAAATTATAATTTCTTAAGGTGCCCTGTAAATTCACAGGAAAAACCGGAGATGCATAAACATAGCTCATCAGGAAATTGCAACCACTGACCCACCCTGGCAAAGCACAAGAAACGTTAAGGCGAGATTTCAAATTCCAGCATTAAGCCAAGAGTTGACTTACTGAGTGAGATAAAGTAGAAAACAATGATAGCCTAACTAATTATTTGGCTGGCACTTAGCTACATCATTTTAGATATAGGCTACAGTTCCAGGGCTGCTGGAGTTATTTACAGCCCTGGACACATTATTCTGTGGCCAGCATTTAAGGCAGTTTCTGATTTCTGCGATGGTTCACGTTGCGACTTGAGCACAGTTCATACTGATACCCTTAGCGTCTGCCCCATACAGTAAGGGCTCTCTACATGGCTGAGTGTTGTGTAACCCCAGCAGCCGGGCAGTGGTTTCATACTGCCGGTCAGATTTCAGGGATATTAATGCAGTGGGCAATCCCTAGAGTTTTTATTAAGGATGCATTACAGAAGGTTAAGGAATGTGAGGCGAGGGAGGAGGGAGGAGGTAGAGGAAGCACTTGGAGAAAAAGAAGATGCAGAGGAGACACACAAAATCCAAAAAGGAAAAAAAGTCTATTATTGGACTATTGTAATAGCAGGTGTTAAAGCCCATATCCCAGCGTTGCTCTAAGGGTCTAATAGCAGGTCATATGTGGAAACCACCACCAGAAACCAAGGCAGGGATTGACAAAAGTCAAAAACCAGATTAGAAACTCAAGCAGAAGAATCCAAGTACCACAAATAGCCATGACCTAGCAAAAAACAAAACCAATCCCAGGCTCAATCCCCCAAATCCTACTCTACGGGGATGAGAAGCAGCATCTACATTTTTGCTAGTTCTCTGGGTCATTCCGATGCACCTGTAAGTGGGAAAACCATAGCTCTAGTGCCTGTAACATCCACAGCCTCTTCTGAGGGAGACACATGGTTCCCAGTGATGATCCATCTTCAGAAGCTCCTTGGACCAGGCGTACCTGCCTAGGAACAGCCAATCAAGAGTCTGCTTTCTACAAAATCTTTAAAGCTTTTGTCATTAGTGACACTGGAATAACAGCAGATAGTACAGCCAATCTAAACTGGAACTGGAGATTCAGAAAGGGGTGTTTAATCCAAGGCAGTGGTAAGAAGACAGGGAAAAGGGCAGAGCCAAGAGTAACTGAGTCACATTAATGGCACTGGCGTGGAAGGAAATGCATCCCTGCTGCTGACAGGATAACCTGGTCCCTAAAGTCTCAGAAAGGGTGAGCATCTTTCTGGTATCCTAATACTGTGCTGATCTCTTAGGCCAGGCTGCTCAGATCAGCTAAGCCTGGTTCCTAAGAGAGCATCCTTAGAGTAGAGCCTACATCTTGAAGTGCCCTTGCAACCAAAATAGCCTAGTACGCCAAGTGCCAGGAAGAGCAAAAGATAGACACAGGCATCCTGTTAGTGGTGTCAAGGTGGGATGCTCCTCCCGGTACAATCGGGGGCATCCCACAATTTTAAGCTATAGAACAGTTAGGTCTGGAGTGCTAGGGTTGAAGATTTGAGATGATAGGTGGTCCACAAAGCCAAGACTTTAAGACTCCTTTTGTTCTTTCCCTCCCCACACCTGAAAGAGGAAACGCATGTGCATAGCCCTAGAGCTTCTCCACCAATGCTGGTGCTCTGCTAAATGAGAGGACCCAATCCAAGGCTGGCCACCCCACATGCAGGAGTTGGAACCAGTGAATCAGCACCCACAGCAACCTTCCCAGACCTTCAGGCTCTCACCCCACACTGTCCTGCACTGGACTGGGGCTTCCCAAGGACAAGACCTTCTCCTAGCAACAGGATTAGCACCAACTAATACAGTTCACGTGTTCTCATTTTATCTCACCAACAAGCCTCTGAGGGCTGTACTAGCTTATTACCCCTGTTTTACAGATAAATGAAGCCTAGAAGTTGAGCAACTGTCTAAGGTCACACAGCTGGTCAATGCCGAAGCGGGGGGGTGGGGGGGGTACGAGGGTGACACAGACAGGACACCAATACTCAAAACCCAGGTCTATCGAGTCTAAAGGTTATACTCTTGACCACCATATTTTCCCTGCCCTTTTTTCTCCAGAGTTTTTTTTAATTGTGGTATAATACACATAGTTTATTATCCTCACCATTTTTAAATGTACAGTTCGGTGGCATTAAGCACATTCACATTGTTGTGCAGCTATCACCACCAGGGATCTCCAAAACTTCTCATCTTGCAAAACTGAAAATTCTGCATCCATTTAAACAACTCTCTACTCTCCCCTCCCTCCCACAACCACCATTCTGCTTTGTCTCTATGAATTTGACTCCTGTAGATACCTTTACCTTTGTAAGTGGAATTACACAGTATATGCCACGTTATAACTGGCTTATTTCACTTAGCATAATGTCCTCAAGGTTCATCAATGTTTAGCATGTGTCAGAATGTCCTTCTTTCCTTTGTTTTTTGTTTGTTTTTAATTGAAGGTCCCTTACTAGTCCTGCTTCCATGAGTGGCCACGACCGGGGAAAAAAGGAAGGGGAACCAGGCAGCACGGGGAGGGGTCATCTCTACAACACTGCATTTATATTCAGAACTAAACACACAAGGACAGAGTCACTACTGCTATTAGAAGTTGGCAGCATGGGAAAGGGAAGGGACAGATGGGGAACTGGGGTGTTAAAAAATACAGTGCTCCTTCCCCCAGGCATACCCCTGTTTGAGCTTAATCTGCTTCAACCCAAGAAGAAGATAAAAAGCAGTTTGGGGGCTTCCCTGGTGGCTCAGTGGTTGAGAGTCCACCTGCCGATACAGGGGACGCAGATTCGTGCCCCGGTCCGGGAAGATCCCACATGCCGCGGAGCAGCTGGGCCCGTGAGCCATGGCTGCTGAACGGAGCGATCAATGGAGTTTCCTAAATAGGTTGTCTGTCACTTTATGTTATTGTTAGTTTGTTTCTCTATAACTGACTTTTGGGATATGGAAATGAAGATCTGTTTTCTTCATTCCTTGAGAAAATGAGTTTATTTTTTTAGTCCAACTCCTTAAGTATATACAACAAAATTATTTGAGAAACAAGTAGGAGTTTTCATAAGGAGGGTTATGTGGTAGATTAAATTCAGAGACATGTAGGAGAGAATAAGTGGTACCCAAAAAAAAAAAAAAAAAAAAAGCAGTTTGGGAAGGCCAGAACCTTCAGGGATGGAGGGAGGAGGATGGTCCAGGAGGTGGGGAGGCTGTTTGGCAACTTGAGTGAAGGGATTGCCCACCCCCTGCTGGGACCCCCCCAGCCCCTCTGGTCTGGCAGGAAGGGGGCAGCCTGCAACCCCCGTGGGCAGGTCTGAGGTTTGCCCTCCAGAGAGATGAAAACGCTGGCCCCCAGCTTCTCTGCCAGGGTGCAGTGGTCCTTGACCTCCTCGTAGCAGTTTGCTTCTAATTCATGCTTGATCCCCATCAGCTTCTCCTCGACGGCATCCTTGCAGCTGGCATAGATCATTTTGCTCTTCAGAGGTGCAGACTCAGGGGCCCAGGCCTCCTCCTTGCTCTCCTTGGTCTCACAGGCTGCATCACAGAGGGCGTAATGGCAGCCCTTGTGTGGCAGCACCTTGACAAGGATGGCATAGGGGTCATCTGCAGTCTGGCCCACATCACCTACCAGCATCTCCTCACCCTCCTCCAGGATGAGGCTCTTCGTGTCCTCGCTCAGGCAGAAGAGCACCGCCTTCTTGTGCTTCCTCACATCCTCTGGTGAAGACGACTTACTCACCTTCATGTCATTGAACACTTTGATGACACCAGAGACAGCCACACTGGAGACCACATTTCTAGAAGCGAAAGGGGGATAGCGAGGAGAGCCAGAAAAGACAGGAGTCACTGCAGCCAGTGCCGGGATCCGACTGAACCAACGTCCTTCCTTTCTAAGGCTGAATAATATTCCTTTGTATGGATGTACCCCATTTCGTTTATCCATCCATTCATGATGAACACTGGGTTGCTTCCTCCTTTTGGCAATTGCAAATAATACTGCTCTGCCTTCCTTTCTTATCCTGCCTGATGCATAGCAGGGGTAAGAAGGTACAAAGAGCATCCTTCGGGACTTCTCTGGTGGTGCAGTGGTTAAGAATCTGTGGGCCAATGCAGGGGATACGGGTTTGAGCCCTGGTCCGGGAAGACCCCACATGCCGTGGAGGAACTAAGCCCGTGCGCCACAACTACTGAAGCCTGCGTGCCTAGAGCCCATGCTCCGCAACAAGAGAAGCCACCGCAATGAGAAGCCCACACGCTGCAACAAAGAATAGTCCCCACTCATCGCAACTAGAGAAAGCCCACGTGCAGCAACAAAGACCCAGCGCAGCCAAAAATTTTTAAATTTTTTTTAAAAAGATCATCCTTCCATCTACTTTCAAAAGAGCATTTTAGGAAATTAGGTGGAATGGGCTTTCCGTTAGATTCTTAAACCAGTAAGTATTTATTAATGTTATTATACTTGTCATAACACTGAGGCAACTATATGCCATGTAATAAGTTAACATACATATACATTTAAATGGGACTATAAATCAGTGTTACTATAAAATTTGGTGAGCCTTTAAGTTTTTAACCAAACAAACCAGAACTGCTACATTCAAATGAGTATTTTCCTAACAGCCTGGGAGGCTCTACACTGATTGATCACTGAGAGCATCTGAAGCCTGACTACTTCTGAGGATGACAGCTAGTAAGAGGCCACACACAACTGTCATCAGTACCTGCAAGTCACACTTTGCCTGTAACAGAAATATAAGTCAGTGAATTCCTACCTTACTCAGCCAGCTTAGTTCTTTGAATAACTCTTGGCTGTTTCCAGAAAAGAAAGCATACCTTCCAGGCATAGATTTTGCCACCATACAAAGGAAAAAGAATGCATCATCAGATCTGAAGCCAATTTCAGAAGAAGTATTGATGAGCTCCAGTATCCTTGGACCTCCGCCAAAGGGAACATCCCGAAGGAAACAGCATTCATACAGGTAGGATCTGATGTGTTAGTCATAAAAAATCACATTTTAAGGGTATTCTTACCATTTCGGTGCATACAGCTTGTTACATAGTTACACACATGTATACACAGTAAAATGACCATTAAAAAAGCAAGCAGCTTGATAGCAAAGAAACACTAGTTTGTGGCTAAGGAGACATTCATTTTCCTTATTTCACAAATAAACATTAGCCCTCATTAGCAAGTGTAAGCAAATTAAGAATTTGATTAAATCTGATGAAACAAGATAGAGCAATTTATCTCCTTTTAATGTACAAATACCTCCTTAATACTTATTCATACAACAAATGAACCACTGGACTGGAAGAACTCAAGGTCAAAGACTACTTTGCAGGGATGGGCTCTTCCTCTCTGCCTCACGCATGGGCTGTGACACATCACTGCAGGTAGAAAGTGCTCTCTACAGGTGTTGGCCAAGTGATGAACATAAAAGATGGTATGAATCTTCAGATAAAAACCATGAGTATTATTGTTCCTGTGGGATAAGACGACTGAAACAAACTCAATCTGATTTTTCCTCCCTGATTCACTGTTGCCTGCTTTGTTCGATCTCACATGAAGGATGGAGTCCGTATTCACCCCCACCTAATCATGCAAATATCCATGAGTCTTGATGAGACTGTTAATAAAAACTTGAGTTTAAGTGAAAAAAATTATTATGCTTTTAATGTAAATGATAACCTTAGGAAGGTAAGAGCAAAAAAAATACATATGTGATCAAAATTGTGTGAAATTAGGATATTCCAAAACAAAGCAGTTATATTAGCGTTCATATCCACAAATGTTGCTTTGCTGTTAACCCACGTTCATACCTTGTGCCAAGCCTTTGTGCACAATAATGAAAAAGAAGAAAAACAACATTTAATTATCTCCTGACAGGGGCTCCACATTCCATAGATTTAGGCAAGTGCCAGAGGATACAGATGGGCTTTCCACCAGGTACTCTAAGCCAAAATGACAGATAACATGACGGTACATGTGGTTCCTTGGTGAAGAAAGGGCTTTCCTCGAACGGCTACGGCCTGGAAACAGGAAGGGAGTACAGGTGGTCTTTAAACCAATTCAAGGGCATTTATTGAGTCCCTACAGTACGCAAAACCCTACCTTGGGAAAAGTGAGGGATGTGAGCAGAAGATTCAACCTACATCTTCAACGAGAGCAGCTGTGCAAATATACACACCCAACCATCAATTGCACGCAGTGAAACACATTCTAAAACTACCTACAATCTCAAAGCTTTTTTAAATTTGGCTTTGTAACTCACCCTATTTTCTGCAGAATCACCTTTTTTTTAATATGTAATTGATGAAGCACAGCAATAAAATGAATACCCGTGAACCCGTCAGGAAACCTCGTAGCCCGCTAGCAGTGCTGTTCCCACTTCTGTTCCCCCGCCAGCCCCACCCTCCCCGGATACCTACTATTCTAGTTGCCTTTTCCCTCATTCCCTGGTTTTTACTCATTTTATCACATGTATATCCTTCACCAATACTGTTCATTTTGGTGATTTCAAAAATTCACAAAAATGGTGTCAGTTCTGTGTGGATTCCTCTCTGAAACACCTTAAGTGCTACCTAAGCTGGGCATCATATGAAGTCAGGTAATAGGTTCTGAGCATGCATCTTACCATTGGTGGAACTGCACTGGGGTCTGGGTGGGCAGTTAGCAAAAGGAAATTAAACCAGAGTCTAAACTGGAAGGCCAGGGCACACAAAGATAGTTGAATACAGCACAATTTACCAATTCAAATATTTTACCTTTTCATCTACCCCATAAATACACAGTAGCCAGGTCACGATACAGTAGAGACATCCTACTGCCCAGTACCTTTTTTCTTGTGGAGTCTCTAAGCCAGGGGACCTGAATTGCTTAGTGCTGAAGAGATTATAAGCCAAGTCTTTGAATTCCATGCACAAGGCATCTGGGTATTCTCGTTCCTTTTAGGATTTCATGCCACTACACGTTTGAGTTTTATAATGGCAAAAGCTGTACAGGAAAATCATTAAGTATCTTTCCTGATGGGCCTCTTCATTCCTCCCCAAACTTCAGGAAAGGAGAGAAAAGCCTACAGGGGCCATGTCACTATTAGAATTGTTCAAAGGAGAGTAATAATGCATAGGCCCTTGAATAAACTTTAAGAGGAACATTATATGCCATTAACTTGGAGCTCAGATACATAAGCTTGATCATTCCCACAACAAATTAGCAAGATATACCAGTGCTCACCTACACCGGGACCCAGACAACTTGAGGACCTCCTCCTCATATCAAACCTAAAATGCTCCTGCTTGGAGGAGCTTCTAAAGTGCTTTGACAAAGTCCCTGATAAGAACCTAAAGTTGTAATAGGCAATGGTCTGGGTCCTGGGTATCCTCCTGTAAGGCTCTCCCCTCATATGCTGGAGGAAGGGGCCTTGTCTCTGATGGTCAAGCTGACATCCTGAGTGAAGGTGAGCTCATTTTCCAAACACCTGTCCAGCCAATAGGCAGTGAGCAGGGCACACCCATAAATGTGAAAACCTTCAGCTAGGTGGGCAGATGGGAGAGAGCTTCCAGGAGTCTCAGACATACTTCCCTGATCTTAGCTCAGAAAGGGAACGAAACGCCCATCAGACATCAAGCAGGATAGGAAAGAAGATGCTTCAGAAAGAGATGGAGACAGGGAAAGTGCTGGAAAGCAGACCAGTGCCCTGAGATGAAAGGAGGGTTAGATTTAAAATCAAATAATCTTACACTGCTTGAGTTTCATGTGCACCTTTTGATTGTTATATTTACCCCTTTTTGAAGATGTGACCCTCTTTCGGGGCTTACGTGGCCTGAGGAGAGCCAAAAACAAGGGTTCTGCCTAAATGTGGGGCAGTTTTAAGAAGCACCAGGCTGTCTAGGGGCTGCGTGTGGTGGTGGAAGGCAAAGTAGCAGATCCCCAAGGGAAGAACTATGGGTCAGACCATCTGCCCTTTTTCTGTACTCAGAGACTTTCCTTCCTCCTTTCTCCCGGCTGCTGGCGGGCAGGGCAGTGCTGGTAGAAAGGACGCTCTATGTTAGTGCCTCTTTTATGCACAAATGATGTTCCAGACCCACCATCACTGGGACAGAACCTCGTGGAAGGCAGCAGAGTGGTCAGACGAGGAGTGTGGCTTTGGACAAGTAAGGCAGAGGTCCGTCGTTTGTAAATAAGGATGATGGGGGTGCCTACATGTGGAGCACAGGCTCCGGACGCGCAGGCTCAGCGGCCACGGCTCACGGGCCCAGCCGCTCCGCGGCATGTGGGATCTTCCCAGACCGGGGCACGAACCCGTGTCTCCTGCATCGGCAGGCGGACTCCCAACCACTGCACCACCAGGGAAGCCCCATAGTGTTATTATTAAATGGGTGAACATACAGCTCTTAGAAATGACCTGGCTCAAAAGCAGTTGATAAATGGCACCTATCATAACCAGTGCTTTTTCAATTGTAGGGCTGAGAGATGCATAAGCTCCAAACAAGCGAGGGAGAAACTCATGCCAAGTTGCCTTATTTAAAATATGTATTTGTAATATTTTATCCTGAACATTCTGGTTTCCACGACTTCCTATGTCTAAAAGTATAATCATTTAATGAGCAAAAACAGAGTTATAAATAATGTCTTAACAGAGGAAATACAAAGAAAACTACAAATGAACACACCAAGCATATGAAAAGGTGCTCAACCCTCCAATGTAAGTCAACTTTAAACAAAAATAAACTGTTCAGTGTTCGTTTAAAAAGAGGAAACAATGACCAGTGCCT